CAGACGGTGTCGCGTGCTGAAGGGACCCTTCACCTGAGGTGGTCAGAAAGGGCCCGAGACCCAAGCGACAGTCCAAGCACAGTCAGAAAAGAGGGGTACCCAGAGAGGCCTCGGTTGGCGCAGGGGTTCCGTGCCGGCGCCCGCCTGCCTGGCTCTCGGGAGTCGACTGTGTACACCTCCCCCCAGCGCCGTGTCCAGTGGCGTCGCGTTAATAACTTGAAATCCGCTGTGCAGAGAGCATTACACCGTGGAGACTGGCAGACGCTACAAATGCGGGCCACGCCCTGCGGTGGTTAAGCATGTGCAGCGGCGCCCGGTCTGCTTACCTGAGCGCTGGGAAGAAGGCAGCCCTCGGCCGAGGGGACGGGGGAGATGAGGGCGGGACCGCGGGCAGCAGCTTCTCCGGCACAGCGAGAAGTCTCACGACTGCGCCTTCACTTTGCTAGACGCGTTCTGCAAAATAAAGGCTCAGGTCCAGGGGGCAGGGAAGTGTGGGGAGCAGGAGGCAGGCTGATGTTTCAGAATTGGGCTGCAGCTGAGAGCTGAAACCAGCAACTAAGGGGAGCCCCACTTACGGCAGCAGCAGCTCAGGACCAGACGAGGCCAGTGCCGGAGGGTGTGTCTGTGGAGAAGCCTGGCCTGGGTCTGGGGGAGGCGAGCGTGCAGGTGCTGCCCGTGTGTGTGCGCGTGCGTGTGTGTGCGTGTGCGCGCGTGCGCGTGTGTGCGTGCGCGCGTGCGTGTGCGTGCGTGTGCGCGTGCGTGCGTGCGCGCGTGCGTGTGCGCGCGTGCGCGTGTGTGCGTGCGCGCGTGTGTGCGTGTGCGTGTGTGGCAGAGGCCTCTGCTGCCCACAGTGGATGGACTGCTTGTTTCCAAAGGGGTGGCGGCAGCATGCCTCAGAAGCCCCTACAGCGATCCAGATAAGCCTGTGGTTTACCCGGCATGTCCCTCCGGGAGATAAGTGGCCGGAAGTCTCCATGCCAGAAGGGCTGCTTTCTCGCCACTGGGGATCCCACGTGGCGTCTGAGCAGCATCGTTGGCCACGCTGCACGCGCTGAGAGGTGCTTCTCTGCCTCGTTCACACAGCGGAACCTCTGGGGCACTCTGCCACCCAGACCAGTTAACCAGAGCAGCTTCCGGGGGTGGGACACAGCCTGGGCACTTTGGAGAGCTCTTCAGGTGATTTCAGGTCATGGCCCAAGTTGAGAACCGCTGCGGGAGAAGTTTTTCCTGTGCAGTAAGAGCGCCCGCTCTCCCACACGCCGCGTCCAGGCCGGGTTCTGTTAACAGACAGTTCCAGGCATGGTGGCAGTGATGCCGTGTGCCACTCCTGTGGATGCAAATTGAGACCCTGAAGTCCTCCTCCACCCACTGGGTCCTCACCGCAGGGAGAGGCTGGCTGTCACGTGACCCGGCTTGTCTGTCTGCGTTAACTGTGGGCTGAATCAATCCAGCAGCTGCCACATTCCCCCAGGATATTCAAGGGCTTGAGCTGCCCCTTCTGGGAGCACAGCCCCTTGTGCCGATGGCAGATGATGGCTATTTAGAGGTTCCAGCCGTGCTTCTGGGTAGCTGAGGGAAATCCCATCAGCCGACCCCAGAGGTGTCAGGTGGGCAGGTGTAATCTGCCCAAATTGATGTCTGATCAAGCAGAGGTGGCTGGACATTCCGTGGAGCAATGAAGAGGGTGTGAGATGTCTGTTGTATTTTAGGAAAAGGGCAGGGAGGACAGATGCAAAAGGAAACTGAGGTTAGTGCTGGTGCTTTGTGCACTGCTCAAAGAATAAAATGCGGGATCCCTCTGCCCCTACACACCCTGGCAGAGGGGAGCTGCAGAGAGTACACAGGAGTCTGTTCGCTCACCACATATGTGCCAGTGCCACTAGGCTGGGGCAGCTCTGGGATTCTGCCAGCAGCAAGGTGGACAAGGCTTCTGGCCTCTTGAGCTGACCTCGAAGTGGAGGAGAGAGCCAGGAACCAAGTGAGCAAGTGAATAGCAAAGCAGTGGCAAACTGTGAGGTGCAGTGAGGGCCCAGTGCAAACAAGGACAAAGCGTGAGGTGCAGTGAGGGCCCAGTGCAAACAAGGACAAAGCGTGAGGTGCAGTGAGGGCCCAGTGCAAACAAGGACAAAGCGTGAGGTGCAGTGAGGGCCCAGTGCAAACAAGGACAAAGCGTGAGGTGCAGTGAGGGCCCAGTGCAAACAAGGACAAAGCGTGAGGTGCAGTGAGGGCCCAGTGCAAACAAGGACAAAGCGTGAGGTGCAGTGAGGGCCCAGTGCAAACAAGGACAAAGCGTGAGGTGCAGTGAGGGCCCAGTGCAAACAAGGACAAAGCGTGAGGTGCAGTGAGGGCCCAGTGCAAACAAGGACAAAGCGTGAGGTGCAGTGAGGGCCCAGTGCAAACAAGGACAAAGCGTGAGGTGCAGTGAGGGCCCAGTGCAAACAAGGACAAAGCGTGAGGTGCAGTGAGGGCCCAGTGCAAACAAGGACAAAGCGTGAGGTGCAGTGAGGGCCCAGTGCAAACAAGGACAAAGCGTGAGGTGCAGTGAGGGCCCAGTGCAAACAAGGACAAAGCGTGAGGTGCAGTGAGGGCCCAGTGCAAACAAGGACAAAGCGTGAGGTGCAGTGAGGGCCCAGTGTAGGTCAGAAAGGCCTGAGGGGACAGAGGCCGCTCCAGGAGACGTCTTCCATGAGTCCCAGGCACGAGGCGTAGCCATGGGCGGTCTGGGGGAGGGTGCTCTGGGGGAGACGCGCCAAAGACCCTGAGGTGGGAAGAGCTGGTGCTGCTGAAGAATGGCCGGAAGTTCCTCGTGAGCACGGGCGGTGAGCGGGAAGGGGCTGAGAGTGGTGAGACAGGAAGGGACAGGACGACCTGTACTCTGGGCTTGCTGGTTGCCCGCTGGAGACCTGAAAGCCGGGTGGTGACACGCTCTGATCTACATTTCACCCACTTGTTGTGTGACCTCTCTGGTTTTCACTCTCAGCTGTAAAGAAGGTAAAGGTAGGATGATTATGAGGGTTAGAAATCCTGTATGTGGACTTAGTGGAGGAACTGACACATAGTAAATGGTTGGTGAAAGGGCAGCTGCTGTCCTCCTCCTCCTGCCCCCTCTCCCTCCCCCCTCTCCCTCCCCCCTCGTCTTTATGGGCGTGGCTCACAGGAGTTCCTCCCTTGCCTGAAGGGGACTCTAGCTTCCCCGGGCCGCATGCTGAGTACTAGAC